AAAAAAAAGAAAGAAAAGGATTTAAATCTTGGGAAGAATATCAAGTCAAGAACTTCTTCATCAGAATTGCTGTTCCTGAACCTCAAATGCCTTTTGTGTGTAAAGATTTGTGGAAAACACCAGAAATTTATTTATTTATTTTTTGAGACAGAGTCTTACTCTGTCACCCAGGCTAGAGTGCAGTGGTGCAATCTTGGCTCACTGCAACCTCCACCTCCCACGTTCAAGCGATTCTCCCACCTCAGCAGTCCTGAGTAGCTGGAATTACATGTGTGTGCCACCACACCCAGCTAATTTTCATATTTTTTAGTAGAGATGGGGTTTCACCATGTTGTCCAGGCTGGTCTCAAACTTCCAACCTCAGATGATCCACCCACCTTGGCTTCCCAAAGTACTGGGATTACAGACATGAGCCACTGCCCCCGGCCCATAAATTGATTTCTATTTGCCATTTTCCAAAAGACAAAAAAAATGGTTTTTTTTTGTTATGTTTTTCTTTTTTGAGATAGAATCTTGCTGTGTTGCCCAGGCTGGAGGCCTCAAGCTGTCCTCCTACCTTAGCCTCCCAAGTATCTGGGACAACAGGCATGCAAAACAAAGCACAACTCTTAAAAAAAAAAAAAGTCTTGGCCAGGAACGGTGGCTCATTCCTGTAATCCCAGCACTTTGGGAGGTCAAGGTGGGTGGATCATGAGGTCAGGAGATCGAGACCGTGCTGGCTAACACAGTGAAACCCCATCTCTACTAAAAATACAAAAAATTAGCTGGGCGTGGTGGCACGCACCTGTAGTCCCAGCTACTCTGGAGGCTGAGGCTGCAGAATCATTTGAACTTGGGAGGCGGAGTTTGCAGTGAGCTGAGATTGTGCCACTGCTCTCCAGCCTGGGCGACAGACAGAGTGAGACTCCGTTAAAAAAAAAAAAAAGTCTTTATCTCTTCAGTTTTCTAAAATTTTTTCCATAGTTAGGTTTATTTATTACCCCTTTGCAAACAATCTTATGAGTATAACATAAAGAAAAGTTGGTGGTTTTCTTATTGAATTTCTTTATTCTCTCCATTTCTTCTACTGGATAAAAAATTGGAATTTTTCTGTCCTGTTTATTGGCTTAATTTTTCTTAACTAGCCTTGTAGTTTGTTACCAGCCAAACTATGGAGGGAAAATGCTCTTTTGGTTAATGTATTAATAGCTGGGATCTCCCCTGGGGGAAACTAGAGTCATCAGCTGGAAAGGTCAGGTGCTTTGCTGTTTCATGCTCAATTGCATGGCTGCCTAAATTCCTCTTTCTTTGAATAGGATGAAACTGATTCCAAGACAGCCTCCCCATGGAAGGTAAGAACTCCTTTGCAAATTATTGTTTGCAAAAGTTTTACAAGAGCATGAAATATTTTACGTCCTTTTTTGGTATGCCTTTTTCTGACTATTCAGCTTGTCTTAAGTCTTTAGTCATTTCTGGACTCTTTTGGCTGGTTTCTTTCTGAATCTGTTATCTCTTAAAATGTGATAATTAGTATACAGAAGCAGAGTGTGTATATCAGATGCTCAGTAGTTAGGTTGCATTGATTACCCACGTTAGTGCAGGATATGCTGCAGCATGGAGAACTGTGCTGTTGGCAGAGTCCCACTAGTAGGAGGCGGTCCAAAGGGAAATGACATGAACATGAGAACAACTGCCCATGTAAAGGAGAGCAGGCCTTTGTTCACCATCTGCCTGGCCTCTTTTTTATTTTATTTTATATTTTGAGATGGAACCTCACTGTGTCGCCAGGCTGGAGTGCAGTGGCTCAATCTTGGCTCACTGCAACCTCTGCCTCCTGGGTTCAAGCAATTCTCCTGCTTTAGTCTCCCAAGTAGCTGGGACTACAGGCCTGTGCTACCATGTCCAGCTAATTTTTGTATTTTTAGTAGAGACAGGGTTTCACCATGTTGGCCAGGGTCATCTTGAACTCTTGGCCTCAGATGATCTGCCTGCCTCGGCCTCCCAAAGTGCTGGGGTTACAGGTGTGAGCCACCATACCTGGCCAGGGAAAAGGTTTTTTATGTGATATATTTATAGCTGTGATTGTGTCACTGGTTGCCTGTGTTTCAGTTGTAGCATGTTCCCTCCTGACCCAGCTCTTCGGGAATACATCACTTGAGTTACAGGCAAGTTAGAGAGCAGATTTTGACTTTATAAAAGTAGATCTTTTGGCTGGGCATGGTGGCTCACACCTGTAATCCCAGCACTTTGGGCATAGTGGCTCACACCTGCAATCTCAGCATTGTGGAAGGCTGAGATAAGTGGATGAGCCCAGGAGTTCAAGACCAGCCTGGGCAATATGGCAAAACCCCAGCTCTACCGAAAAAAAAAAAAAAA